TCACAAGAAACCACTTACACAGTTCAACAAAGTTAAATATGCAGAAAAGTTAAATATGCAAAATTTGAGTAAAGGGTTTAAAATTAGTTTAAAGATAAGAATTTGGGTTTTAATAAGTAAAAATGACAGTTCTTGACAATCAAGCAGGAATATTTTCTCTTCGTCATGTTTTTTGTAGATTTAGCACTCTAGAACTTTGTTGGGCCGTGTAAGAGGCTTCTTGTGATATACTTTCCTCAACAATTAACAAAACAGTTTTATCATATATTTTGATTAATTGAAAAAAGCCAAAATGACCAATTTTTTGGGATAGATTTTTGGTTGAGAATTTCGGGAAAAAAATTACACTATTTTAATTCTGATGAAATTCTAAGCATTTATTGTTCTCGTCTTTTTTGTCTTTTCTTAACCCAATTTGAGAAAAACGTGTTGAAAAATTTAAGTTTTGTTCGTTTTGTCCGGATAATTTGAATCAGCACTGTATAGCGGAAGATTGTTTACTTGGTCCAAGTTGTCCACTTTTTGACCATACATCAGAATGAGAACAACCAATTATTGACTGGATTCTTTTGTCAGCAACAAAACCTCTGTTATAGTCTCATGAAGTCGTGGGATCTTTTAACCCACTACTCTCAAACCTCCTAATTTTCGATTTTTTGATGGTGGTGAAAAGTAAAAAGTACAAATATAGAAAATAGATAGCATTGAATAGTAATGGTCGACACAAATCCGTTTATTTTTAATTATTAGACAAGACCTATCAAGTTCAAATGTTAAGCGGATATGAAGGTTCTCTCTTTTTTGGGTGTGCGCAAAACTCTGCAGCTTATTTGAGATGAAATTGAATAATGCTTTTGAGATGTTGCTAAAAATTAATTAAATGTTTTTTTCCCATCAGATTTGACCCTCGAAAAAGCTCAAAAATAGAAGATCTACTTGCCTCCTTCTAAATTATCTCTTTAAGAATTGCCCTATAACTAAGAGTAGTAAATTAGCATTAGAGCTTTTTTTTATAATTTGAATTTTGCTGCAATCTGAATGGTCGAGATTTCGACTAGCTTTATCTACCTTGAATTACCTCCTTGATTGAAAAAGGGTAAATATTTGGTAGATCCAAAATTTATACCGAATTTGAACCAATTGAATTATGAAAATTTTTGCTGTTCATTTTGCATCATTGTACGACAATCATCAACAGAATATTTTGTTATGAAGCATTATGTAGGCAACCGCGTTTCGATACGCGTCCGTTAATATACAAACTTGAAATTACCCAATCAGAATCCAGACAAGGAAAAAAGTAATAATTATTATTCATTCACTTCGTAAGTTTGCTTGCTCATCTCGATTTTGATTAGCTAAAATAGTATTTGCCCACTTACTAGCGAGTATGAAACAGAAATTGTCGGCTCTCGGCTCATATGAAAAGTCCCCCCAATCGACCAAGTGAATTTATCTTGACCTAAAATAAAATGGCAAACTCAAGCAGTAAGGCTGCTAAATTATTATTGTCTGAAAAACAATAATTTTAACCAAGTAAACAATATTCCACCTTAATTAGAATAGATGGAAATTTTTCAATCAGTACAAAATGTACTTTTTTTTACCACATTTCAGGAAAAAAATCAACTAAAGTATTGAAAAAACAAAATCAATGATTTTTTGGCGGAATAAATAAAAATACCCAAATTCTGTGTAGCAGCTATAAATATGCATGCTTTTGACCATTCTTGGAAATAGACACATCGAACGCAATTTACGTTAATAGACGTCTGGATATTTGAGGGGTGTCTGCAACTCTTTAACAAATTAAAACTAGAAATATATACATTTTTTTTCAATTCAACACCATTTAGCTATGTGAAAAAGAGGTTTTCTTTAGGATTAACCGCTCTTATGTGGCTGCTTAAGAATTGCATGTTTTTTTGTTTTTTTTTTTGGAAAAAAAACTGATGTTTTTTTTTCAACCTGGCAGTCATGGATTTGAGCCGCTTGACTGCCACTCATCAAAAACTCGGAAGAAAATATTTAACAGCTACTTAAGTTATAAAAATGGCCAAAAATTTTGTTAGTTAGCTTCAAAATTTTTTTAACATCCATTGGATGTTATACTTGAGACACGCAGTTCGTGATGTTTAAGATAGATAACTTGGCCTGTAAGCAACACACTTGACCTGAAGTTTAAAGAAATGCTACGATTCTAATAAACTCGACTTGATCTACACTTTTCAGAGCAAGCGAACCGCCCTGCAGCCCAGTTCAACCAAAAATACAATTTTTCTGGTAACCGCGTGTGTTCCAGTATCTAGTGAACTTTAAGGGGTGCGCGTGCCAAATAAACACAATTGTTTAGTCAAAACAGCCCAAAAAATTTTTTAAAATGTCAGCTATGGTCTGTTGTGGCAGAAATGAGTCTGCCACACAGAAAAATTTGCCGAGATAATTTCTTAATAATGTGTTGGCAGAGCTTGTAAATCAATGTGGACGACTTATAAAAATTGTCGATAAATTAAACTAGGTTAAGACCATTATCCACGATTGAACAGACCACCATACGAGTTGTACAGCTCATCACGGCAAACATGTCCGTTGGAGAAGGTGACCTTCTGTGTTCGTTGTAGACCAGAGGCTTGATGATGGATAAGTGTTGCACATCACTGACGAAGTAGGGCACTTAATTTAAGAATAACTTCGGCCTTGATTTAATGTCGAAAAAATGAAGCTGCCAATGTCTTCACTAGCACATACTAGATCCTCTTCCAATTCCACCCCGTTATCAACATTTTATTCGTCTCTCTATTTCGACAGTAAGGTTCTCGAAGAGCGCTGAAAACTGTGAGTTTTCCATTTGTTAGATATTGAAGACTTTCCAATAAAATACTATTACGAGGCCAAACTGTGTATTCTGTGCATTGTAAGCGGACACCGCAACAGGCCAAAACCAGATTTGTCGCGGAATCCGCAACCTTGTTACTTTTCTTTGATCTTCTTTGCTGTTTTGAATGCCACAAACAAATACCTAAATCATTGTACAGCCTAAAATTGTTCCAAAATTAGGTGGATTTGTCAATTCCGCGTTTGCGGAATCCAGACGAAACAGGAAAACCCCAAACAAGTAATAAACTTGTGTATAGTTAAATTGAGCTGTTGCGGAATCCGCAACTGTAAGTGGAAGCGGCAAATTGTAAGTAGAATCCGCAAATTTTAAGTGGAATCCGCATATTGTAAGTGGAGTTCTGAAATTCTTCAATAATTTTGAGCAAGGTATTCGGGAAGATGCAGCATCATATCTTCAAACAAAAAATACCCCAAGGGTTTGATTTCACTTTCGACTTATCTCAAAAACTACCTTCATGAATTAGCTAGAATCGTAATCTTCTACATCATTATTTGGGGTTGATAGAATCCCTAATAATGATCAGTATTTGGGTTTCAGATTGATGCAATCCCAAATACTGACCTAATTTGGCGGTATGATGTTCGTTGTGTTTCCAAAACACAATTTGTTCTGTGTTGTATTTATTCGGTGTTGTGTTTCCAAAACTAGTATTTGAGATTGATGTGATCCCAAATACTGACCTAATTTGGCGATATGCTGTGCGATGTCTTTCCAAACACTCTCAATCCAATTACTCCAAATTTTGAATTTATTCGTTGGGTTTCCAGAATACTGAAAGGTGACATTCACCGATTTAGTTTACAAATGTTTTGAGATTCGCTCGTGGATTCCGCTGGCAATGTTTAAGTCCTTACTTTTAAATCCCGCGTTGCGATAGATAAGACTTCCAGCTCTAGCTTTTTATATGCAGGGTCAGTATTAAACAAAATTCGGAATCTACTAAGTTTGTGGAAACCGTCTAAAAATTATGCGGATTGCACTTTCATTTGCCGATTCCACTTACATTTTATTGAATCCGCTTACAGTTGCGGAATCCTGAACAGCTATCTATACACACAACAAATTTGGCGACAAAATTGCGTTACAAGTTTTAGTTAGCGGACTCCACGGAAGTTTTGTAAGTGGAATCCGCTCACATTTTGGAACATGTTTAAAGATTTGTCGCTGCAACCCAGGAATATTTAGACACAAATTTGTGCGCCTCAGTGCAAAGTTTGGCCTCGTAATGAAAAGTTTTCTAAAACCTAGAATTTAAAAATAGCTGTTTGGGTGAAAACTTCAGCGCTATATCTATGATATCAATAGCATTTTTTTCTCCTTTTTTGATAGCTTTTTTCCAAAGTTAATTCAACCGGCACAATTTGGAAGTGTCGATACGTAATGATAGTGATCGACAATACGGAGATCCTTCTCCATTGAAAACTGTCAAGTCTATGTCCAGAAGATTCCAATTCATAGCTTACAGCCCAATGCGGTTGATGAAGGAATCATCGATCTCGTCCAAAAACATGAACAAAAAAGGTAAAGGTATATCTAAAACTTGGCAACTACTAGTCTACTTTTTTTAGGGTTGTTTTTTATTCATATGAAAGTTTGGGGGTGGGAGAAATGTATTTTTTTTGGAGGGGGAGAGGCAAGCTAAGAAAAATAAATGTTGTGGTCTGAAATGTGGTTGTTTAAAATGAGGAGAGGCGTGTGGGTTATGATAGGTCAAGTTTGACCTGTCAAATTCTTTTTACAACTTTCTTTTTCTGACGTAGAAAATATCAATGATTTCTTCATAAAAAGCTTTTCTTTCACAAGTCACTCAGTTTTCAGAAAAGAAAACAAATTAGAAAATGAAAAACAAGACAAAGCTAAAGAAACTAAATTCAGAGTAAGAATTGTTTCGCTTCGAAAATAAATTTAGACTATGGATTTCGTCACCTGATACTGAAGTTCAACCTCACAGCCGAGTGAACAAAAGCGCTCCTATTTGATTAAAAGAGTAGGTTGGTTACTTGAACTTGTGTGACTCGAGGGCTTTTAAAAGATCGGCATTAAAAGTACCTGTAATGGAAAAAGCTTCGACCTGCTATTGGTTGGGCGGTTTAAGCAGTAACTCGAACATTCTGATAAAATGCTACCAAATAAAATCAACACAAAGCTAAAATTTAATTTAAAAATTAAACGTAGTCTTCAACAAAAAAACTCAAAAGAGACGTGAAATTTTTTTTCTATATAGCAAAGTTTACCCAGCAAATCAACAAAAATTTTAAAAAATGAAATTCAGTTCCACAAGTTTTCAGCCTGCGCAGAAAAAAAGAATGAATTCATCTCTCATGTGAGTATTGATAAGTTTTTTTTTCAAATAGAGTTTGTTTGCTATTCGATTTCCTAAGTTGGAGGATTTCACCAATTGATCAAAAGTGCGCCAGCTGCAAAAGTCCTGGTCGAATTTGAATGTTGGTTTCTGGACTTCGTTGTCTTCGTTGTCCGTTGGATTGAAGCTTGGAAGTCAAAAATTATGCATGCTCCGGTTGAATGTGCGATTTTATCCAAAAAAGAACCTGTCCATAAAAACTAGAGATACTTATAAGTCATTTTTAGCTTAGAAATTAAGCTTTCAGCGGTTGAATGAAACTATCTTAATGTTGTTTTTGAGATTTTTCAGTACTGATGCAGTGCTGTTACAGTCCTGATTTAACTCTGATCAGTGATAAATTGACGCTGGCGAGTTCTGAAGCAGTACTGTTTTTATTTACTGTAACAGAACGGCAGTAGCACTGATTTTCTCGCAAGATCAATCCTCCTAAGAATGAACAAGTGAAGAGCTTTCCGCAATTAAGATTCGCTTAAATTCCTCGGCGCTCTGTGTAGTTGTCGATTTCACTTATTAAAAAAAACTGATTTTCCTTTCATTACAAATTTTTTTGTTAAAATTTGGGGGTCTGAAAACCCACAGATTTTAAACTTTGTAAGTCGCACTTGATTTTCAATCAGAACAAAATGGTAAAAGTTAGGGGCGAATTGTAAGCAAAAACAAAACAGCACTTTATTGAGGCTAATTTTAGCAATCAAAATCATCGCCTTCAAATGAAAATTTTTTAAAACTTCCAATGAAGTTGTCTCCTATTCAGATAAATCGAAAAACTACCCACAATCTTTTATAAATAAAATTCTACATAATTGAAAATAGCCAATTTGCCTATTTTTGCACTATTTCAAGCACGCTTCGAAGTATTTGTCCATATTACTTTTGACTATCAGTGCAAAACGCTGAGTGTTACGATTAATCCTAGCTAATCTCAGACTGGTGAGCGAATAGTTGTTCGCAAAATTTGAGGCGTAAAGGGTATTTTATATAACCAGTTACCTAGCGGGATAACTTTTTGAGTGCGTGATAGATTGTCTCGCTTGAATTTGTTGCACTAAACTTTCAGCAGCATAGATTAATCTTCAAAGCTTGCATAAAGTAGTTCAGAACAACAACAAATAGAAAGTTTTTGTTCCGACTTTCGATACGAAAGTAACGGAATAATTGTGCTCGGTGTGGTTTTTTCTTCAGACTAGCCGTTTTTGACGGAACTTTTTTTAATATCCTTCAAAAGGTATTGTTGTCTTGAGTTCAAATTTGAAAAGTGAGTTAGGACTGGAGTGTGTAACTCATAGAGTAATTTCGGATAGGGTACACCGTCTGCTCGTCACGCTATCTTATTTTCGGCCGGATAGATTCGTGCAACTTCTTAGTCTAATACCGATCCTAATCTTACTCTTATACTATCTAGTCTCAGGTTGTTTAACTAGTCTCTGCTAGGCTCAATAGATCTAGGGTATACTGGTTTATTGCGGCTGCTGAAGTACTCGGGAGAGTCCAACTAATTTCTAAGTTAAATTCAAATCTCTCTGGTGCTGAAATTACAAGTAACTTCAGCACTTACAAATAAGTGGGTTGTTAGTTAGATGGATCATGATTGGTTAATATTAAATACTTTACATTGGTAAAACATTTAATTTAGCCAATCATAAAATATAGTTTAGATCAGGTTCCACCCATCCGGGTTTTACAGAGTTTTTTTTAGAATAGTTCTTCTGCAATTCGAAGGATGGATGATGGACGTTGGTATTTGGCGAACATCATATTTCTTCTGTTTCCTTTTTGTTAAGGAAGTTCCAGGAAGCTGGAGTTAGAGACATTAGACGTTGTGTTCTTCTTGTGACAACGACTAAGTCTTTGCAACAAACTCAAATCTGATTTCAGAATGGTTTGCTATGTCAGGTTTTTCTGTTCTGCGTGGAGAACTTCTTTTGTGTCTGATCTAGTTTGGGAATGGCGTGGAGATTGTGCGTGGAGGGGATGCCTGGTTACTCGGATCTGTACGTATACTTGAACATCGAGGTGGTCATTGGTCTAGTTCAATGAAGTCCTTTTCTGCGAAGTCAAGTCGTACTCTAAATCCTTTGAGTTGTGATTGTGAGCGGCATATCGATTGTAGTTGGTTATTCTCTCTCGAGTGTAGTGGGGTCGTCTTGTCTTTTGATGTTCGTCCTTGGTGTTGTATTCTGATCTGTATATTGCATCATGTGATTTTACATTTTATAAAACTTTTATTAGTTTAATATTTTTTAATAATGATTTTAGTTAGTTGTTTTCACAAAAGCTTTTTGTTTTAGTTCGGTTATTTTGAAGAGTTACTCACCCTTGAGTAGCTCTTATTAAAAATAAAGGTGTGGTCACAAAGCGTGGATGTAGCGCGGTGGGTTAGGCCGGCTATAGAGCATGCTCAGGACGTCCTTCCTGGTGGGTTAGGCCAGGAGTGGGAGTATAATTTCATGCGGTTTTTGTGAGGGGTCCTGTTATGTGACAACGTTTTATGTTGGGTTTGTTGTGGTCTTACTTATGTCTTGTTGGTTATGTACTTTTTCCAAAAAGCAAATTGTGTGTGGTATGGGTTTGTCTTTCGACTTTTTTGTGTTTTATTATTTCTTTCTAAGACTTTGTAATAGTCTTCAAAAGAATAAATTATCCAGTTTTAAACTGGGTTAATCCGGTTTGGGTACCGTTGGTTTCCTTTTCTTAGTCATGCTGTTATTCTATGATTTGTGGTATTTAGTGAGCTGCGTTGGTTAGTTTTGTTTAGTATATGATTCCTTTCCAACCGGGTTAAAGGAAAGATTGAAACTTGTTATCGTGTGTTAGAGTTGTTGAGTGTGAAAGCTTGAAACTGAAATTCATTATTTTAAACAATTCTTCGTGGGCGAGCTGTGCGAGTGTGGATAGAATTTTTGTGCGAATGAATGAAAATATCAAAAGGTTAGTACTGCATTTGCATTTATTTAATTTACTACATAGAATTTAGAAATTTACTGCTAGTCATGGGGGAACATTAAGATACAAATTTTCATCATGATTAGATTTACTGCTTTGGGGGAAAATATTATAGATGAATTTACTGCATTGATATTAAATTTAGAAATTTATAAGTGTAAGAGATTAATAGAATTTTAAAATTGTTTGATGAAATTTGCGATTTTTATTGTTTCTTTTGTGGTTTTTTGTAGGTGATTGTCGGATGAAAGCTAAAAATCTAAGGAAAACATGAATAAAGAATGGTGAGTTTTTTAATACTGTAATTAGTTAGTAATATTTACTTAATTCATACTTACCTGTTAGTCGTCGGGGAAAAAACCGTGGGGGAAGATGTCGTGAATTATTTCTGAAGTTGTTAGTAGTTTAGCTAAAATGCGGATGATATTTTTAGTCTGAAGCAGTGGTCAAAGCAATTGAAGTGCCTTAATAGTGGTTAGTTCTTCAGTGCCTACTGCAAACTCATAAGGTGTGTTTTGGATTAAGTTATATAATTTGTGATTAAATTTAGTGTTGTGGATGAATTCTAAAATTGGGATTTCTATAGGCTGTACAAACTCGTGCGGGATAAGGAAGGGTCGGGATTCTTCGGCGTTGAAGGTCTTGGTGATGGGGCAGAAAATGTACATTTGGGTTATGGGGTCATAGTTACGAAGAATACCATGGAGGTTAGTGTCTTTAATACAATATGTGAAATTTAGGAAATACGGTGAAGTGTATTTTGAATTGATGAATTGAAAACGATGGTGTGGTTGTCTAGAGGGTGTGTGGAGGTCAAAGTGATTTTGGATGAAACGATAGTAACTGTATGTATGTGTTTGTTTAGTGCGCAACATAATATCATGTGAGCAGTGCAAATCTCTTTCGTGTGGTGCAAGGAAATGAAAGGTTAGTGAAAGGATTTGGAAGCGTTCTTTAAAACTTTCGTATGCTTGTGTGTTTGTTAGTGCTTCTGAAATAATGTGATCAAACTTTCGGTCGAAGATGTTTAGTGTAAATACATATGGTGTCTTGATGAAAAATTTCTCGGTGATTTGTGGATTTGCGAAGCGATCGTCGTCTAAGAATTGATCTTGGTTAGCTCTGATGATATTGTGATCGTAGTATTCTAGTGTGTATTCGTTAGCTCTTGGTGCAGTGTGTATTTTTAGTGATTTTTTATATCCAACGTAAGTAAATTGTCTAGCAGTTAGTGGTGTAGTTAGTCGATATAGCATGTCTTTGTTTCGTTCTATATCGATGGAAGTGTTGGATAAAGGTAAGCAAAGAGGGTTAGTGAAATGATAGTATGAGGTCCAAGAGAGAGTGGGCATTAAAACGTATTCATCTACATAGTTGCGTGTTTCGTTAGCGTCGTGAGGGGTGTTTAAGGTGTATTGTGGAAATGAGGGTAAAGTGATAGCTAAAAATTCTTTAGTGTTAGTATGCTGGGGGTGGTTGATGTATTCACGGGCTGTTCCTGGTTTTGTTGGGAAAGGATTGTTGGGGAACTTTCTTTTAAAAGTGCGGTAAGCTCTATTAGTGTTGAGTGAAGATATAGTGGATGTGGATGATGGTGTTAATGATTCAGTATAATTTGAAGAGGGTGTAGGGGGATTGGAGGAATTTGTAATGGAGGAGATTTGGTTTATGGTCGGGGTGTTAAGGTGGTAGGATTGTTGTTGGAGGGTAATAAAATTATCTAGCTCTGGGGAGATTCGGGGTGTGTCTGGAGAATGAGAGGATTGGTCAGAATGGTATGATGAGTAGGTTGGGGTAACTTGGGAAGCATAAGAGGGTGTGGGAGTGATTGGGTCAGGGTTATTTGACAATATGGGTTGAAAAGGAGGTTGAGAAAAATTAGAAGGGTTATGAAAATTATTGGATGGTGAGGGTTCTGAGTCGGCAAATTCATCGGGGGTTTCAATATTCGGGTTATTTAGCTGTGAGATGGAGTATAAAACTGAAATATGTGAGTTAGTGTCGGAATTCATGCC